CTGTAACAGGTACATATGATAGTAGCCCCATAGCACACTGTCTTTCTTTTGAGAGGAAATGAGGACATTTAGGTTGTTCCAGCCTTTCCTGTGAGCGGTTAGTAGTTAAACAGGTTCTGCAGATCACCAGCTAGTGTAGTAACCCAAACAAGAGATGTTCAAGAGTCCCAGGAGTATTTCCTTTTAATGGTGCTGTCAGCACAATGAGTTAGTAAAGGTCTGTTTGCAGCATAGGGATATATCCATGCTAATGTGCTTGGCTTTCAAGGTTGACTATTATTAATTATTTTTCTAGGCAATAAACAGACTGTCTATAGATACATTCTTTGGCAACAAACAACAAAACGGATGCCAACATGTTGCTCTGTTATTCTCATCTCATTGTTTATGACTGAGGAAACCAGCTCACACGTTACGACTGTAGAAGACAAAAGTAACTTCTATGTGCGATGACATTTTTAAAAACACAACTGGTGAGATCAGCATATGTTCAAAAACTGTTAATTACTAATAAAGCTGAGAAAATCTTTAAGGTGTGTCACAAATAATCAAGTCTTGGCTAATGAAACAGTAAGATTACTAGAGATTAAAACACACATCTAGCTGCACATAATCAGTCTGGGTTAAGAGTAGAGAATAAATTACGTGACATGAACACACAGCTTCCTATAATTTAAGACAGTATACTGATCTCACTGCATTTGTTGCAGTCAAATGCAGAATGATGTTTTTTACATAAATGATGTAACAGGAGGTGTACTGATGTGTAACCCTGGACAGAGAAACATTTTGTTGTTTGTTGCCTAGTAACACTGTCTTCGTTGCTAAGTGTAATTAACAGTAGAAAAACGTCTGTACCGATGAAGTGCTTGCTTTGGGTGACTCATGCTGGCAAATGATCTGCTAAACCTGGTCAAACTGTAACCACCTGATAGGGATGCTGTAAAAACCTAAATGACCCAATTTTCTCGTCTAGTGGCGGGAAGCCAATGTACTATGGACTACTGCGTTATATGGCTATTATAGTAAAAAGACATACAGACACTGGCAAATGTATTAACTCCAGAAGTATTACAAAAAAAACAAATGAAGTGCATATGCCCTGGAGGATGGAAGTGTAGAAGTAAGGAGGCTGTTCATCCATTGGTCAGTGTCATACCTGGCTGTCCATTGGTTGGAGACTTTAGACATGGTTGTTTCACAAAGATCCAAGTGAAAGCACAAATCTGAAAACAGAAGCATTGTGAGCACACAGAAGCAGTCTGAGTGTTGGGAAATGGGCTCAAACTAAAGCACAGGACTTTTGCCCAAGCAAGGTGCAGATAAACAGTTTGGAGCAGATTTACACCTGGGACGGGGCTGTTTGACAGAGAGAAGGGAGGCATGGATTTTTGGGAAAGCATTACAAAAGTTTAAAGCAAAATGATGAAATAATGCTTTCAAACTAAACGACCACACTCTAGAGTAAAGATGGGCAAAATCCCACCTGCTATTTACTAACTGTAGTGAGGTTTTGAGATGTAATACGAGCGTTGTGTGTCTGTCCCACCAGATCTCCCTCATCACCTCGCACACCGAAACGATCCAGGAGGTCGCGTTCCAGGACACCTAAGAAATCAGCAAAGAAGTCCCGCTCCAAATCAAGGTCTCCGCACCGATCTCACAAAAAGTCAAAGAAGAGCAAACACTGACGTATTTTCCTTCGACCTCCAGACCAGCCTATTCCCATCCCTTCCCCTCATTCCCTTCTCTGCGTCATATTGTATAAAAGATTTGACAGACTGATTTGGCAGCTGAAGATGTCTGCCCAAATGTTAACGTAAGGACAATGAAGAGCGGAGGGTGTTGCATGGGTCATGCCATCTGGTGTATCAAGTAGATGGGGCCACTGCTGTTTTATATTGTAAAAAATAAAAATAAAAAAATACTGTGCTTGTGCGTCCTGATCCCCATCACCTCCAAATGGAATTCATCCATGTGGTAGACCACACCCGTGAAGAGTGTGAAACAATAGTCTTATATTCATGCTGTCATTTTCTGTTTTTGTAGATCACATTAAAAAGAATTCCTAATAAACAAGTGTCATTTTTTTATTATTAAAATACTGTTAACACAATGATTTTAACTTCAAGTGGGGTACAGTAAATACAGCTGATTATAAATCAGTTATAAGATTGTAAAAATCGAAGCCAGTTTGAGATCACAAAAGGTTTACTGTATGTTTTTGCAAAGACAAAAATGCTGACAAAGCAAGGCAGTGTAATAGCTTATTACCATTGAGTAATGCTGCAGTGGCCATGAGATCATTCCTTTACAGCTTAGCCTGTGCCTTTAACTGATCCCTCAGTTCAAGATGAGCTATGGAGGAGAGGTGCACCTCGTCTGGTCCATCAGCGATACGCAGAGTCCGTGCATAAGCATACCTGAGAACAAATGTAACATTAGCATCAAGAAGAAGATCTATTTAATTAGGGTCCGAGCACACCAGTGCAAGGACCCTATTGTAACCGTTGTGATTATTATTATTATTTATTAGGGTCCGAGCACCCAAAAGGGTGCGAAGTTATTTTGGGTTATTTCACGCCAAAACTCAAAATGACTTTTCTTTGTGAAATACTTTCCTCAGGTGATTTCTACGACATGCATAGCACTATTTCCACT